CACCAAGTCCCAAGAATGACTCATTAAGTCAACTAATGTCCAAGTCCATAACTCGATTTTTGTTGTGCTAATCTCATCCAAAGGGTAGATCTGGGCTCCTAAGGTTGATAACACATAAAGTCATGAACTTTACATCCAAGCATGGGACTTTTAAGCTCCAAAGGACCAAAAATAGGGTCTAATACATGCATGGGGTTCTCATGGCCATAAAGATGGCACCTTTATGCCATGATGACCCTCCAAGGTTCCAGATATGAAGCTTTTACCCTATATTACACTCTAAAATCCGAAATGGCTTGGAAATGCCCCCAAATATGCCAAGATTCAATCCCCAAAGTAATTTAACAAATAAGAAGTCAAGGTTGGAGCTCTTTACCTCAAATAACTAGAAGTGCATCCAAACCTTTAGATCCACTAACTTCTTCTTGATTCACTAAACTTCCCTTCATTCTTCTAACTTCAAATCACAATGAAAAGGCACAAAATAGCTCAAGGATGCTCACTGTTGATTAGGGTTTCGAGGACAGGGCTTGGAGGTGATGGAGGTTGGGGTGGAAGCCTCATAAGATGTTTAAATAAGGCGCAAACCCTCCAATTTAGGGTTTCACTCAGACAGCTCCTACTCGCCAAGTCGGTCTTCCAACTCGTCGAGTAGGTCACTTAGTCCCCCAACCCGGAGTTGATCCTACTTGACGAGTTGTGACTCCAACTCACCGAGTCCAAGGGCAAAATATAAAGGTTGGCTTGAATTTAAATGCATACCTGAGACCGGGTGTTACAGGTGCCCTCCAAACCCAAAATTAAGAAACTTGTTGTGCCCCCTATTCTAATTTCCTGGATCTGCCCCTGGGCATCATCCTTTTGGTGCTAAGCTTTCTAAGACCACCAACTACAAAGGATTAAAGTGACTTGTTTACTAGAAAAAGATCAAAGGTATGTAGCCTAATTTGATAATTTTGATTATATTAGGGTTCATCTAGTTTTTGTTATTCATGTATATTGCCTTTAAAGTATAAGAAATTTTTTCTTCTAGGTTGCATGTGCCTTTCTTAATTGTTAAGTGATTTTCCATATTGTACATGTGTTATAACCTATAAAACCCATCAAGGAGGCCCATGAGAAGAAGGATGAGAATTGATTCAAAAGACCTTAGAAGCGAAAGAAATGGAAAAAGAGGAGTTTGAAGCCTTCAAGAATTTTAGAGCCATGAGGAAGCGGAAAATAGAAAGAAGTGAGCGGAGAGCTCAAAAGGAGAAGGAATGGGATTTGGTTTCGATGCACACAGTTCAAATGAGGGACTTATACGGAACGGAAGTAAAAGCCAAGGGAAATGAAGGAAAATTGAGTAGAAAAAAAAACAAAGAAGTAAGTTCGGGCCATTCACGTCCTGAAAAAGCAAAGAAGAACTTTCAAAAGATCAAGAGATATCACCAGATGTAGTTGAAGCAAAACAATAACACCAGACCTTTAAGAAATTAAACTTTCGATCACCCTTTATGGATGACCTTAACGAAACGCCCATTCCAAAAGGGCTAAAAGGACCCAGGGTACCAATGTATGATGGAACTAGAGATCCAGATAAATTTTCAATGGGCCATAAAAATGATTCCAATGGATCCGAAGTTGTGGAGTTTATACTTCACAAGAACTTTAGATGGATCTGTTAGATATCGGTTAGTAAGTATGCCTCCTAAGAGTATATGAAGCTTTAAAGAGCTATGTCACAAGTTTTGCAATAGTTTTATCTAGCCATGAATAGCTTTTTGCATATTCTATAATGGGTCCCAGTTAAAAAAATTATTATTTTGTTTTTGTTATGGTAATTTCCAATTCTTATAATTATGAGAGGGAAATTATTACAGTAGATAAAGAATGGTTGGTGTATATTGTTTGCACAATGAGGGAATAACTTGAGTATTTATAGAAACTGGTGTGGTATATTATTCTGGAGGATTGGAAAAAAGTAGTCTATATTAGAAAATAGCTATTTCTGGTTCTTGATTGTATTTGTTGACATTTACCCAAGGTGTAAGTCGATAATAATATAATATATTGATCATAAATGTGTAGATCACTGAATGTACGTTGTGTCAAAACTCATAGTGCACTCGTTTTTCTCTTATACATGTTTCATTGCATTATCTACAGCGAACAGTGTTGGATTAAGTGTATAAGATCTTAACTAAATTGGTATATTCTTAGTAAATAAAAGTAAAGTTGTTTTTCGGTTTCCCTCAAATAACTAGAAATAGACTAGTAATAATTTTAGGAGAGAGATAAAATAATTTGTTAATGTATTATATGATTAATATATTAATTAGAATTACTTAATAATTAATTTAGAATTAATCAGAAATTAATTTTAGATTAGTTAGAATTAATTAAAGGTATAAGAGTTGAATTGTAATTATTCAATAGTTAAGCAAATGTGAGATTCTAGAACCTCATAAGAGTGGACAATTTTAGGGCTCCATTAGAAGGGTTCTGGAAGCCTCGTATTTCTGATAAAGAAACTGATTTGAATAGGTTTAAAATATTATTATTTTATTATTCAAATTAGGGTTTCTATTGTTTATAAATAGGGAGCCTTATTAGCCAAGTTTTGTATCCTAGCCTTCTAGCAAGCATGAAATTCGATATTTCCTTCTTTATCCTCTCTCCTAATTAGTTCCTAGGGTTTTTAGGGTATTGGTTGTGAACTGTTAGAGACATCCATATTATTGGTGCTTTCTTTTCAAGGAAAGTTTGAAGAAAGTTAGTTGTTATATTCGATTATAGCAAAATGTATGTAAACCTAACTATGTAATGTTCGATTTTACATATGTTAATTTAGGTTTTTCAAAGTATGTTGCTATTATGAGAAAAGTCACAGATCTCTAGGTTGCATGTATCCATAATTGTTTATGTGAAATTTCGTTGTGCAAATCATGTTTTATTAATTATTTTATAACCTTAAAAACTCATCAGACAGATCAACTGAATTTAATACTCTTCGAAGGTGCACTTTGAGGTGTTATTGGCAATTTTAAATGATTTTAACAAAAATTTGAAATTCCCAAACAAATTTTATAAAGATAAACACAATACCTTAATTTATAGAGTAAATTACGCGAATGGTCCCAATGGTTTAGGATAATTTGCGTGTTCAGTCCCTAACTAATTTTCTTAACTCAAAAGGTCTGTACTGTTTGTTTTTGTTACGCGATTGGTCCCTACTGTTATTCCGGAAAAAAAAGTTATTCTTCAAAAACCGAAAAAATATGGTTATTTTTTCTTTAAAGAACATCGTTTATAATGATTAGTTGGGAAATGTTCAATAGAGAACCATTATTATTCAAGGAACCAAGGAACCAATCCAAAGCATCAAAATTTAAAGCGATCAACGGCAAAAGGAATGGTTGTAAATTTTTATAATGGATGCACATTTACCGGATTATAACAAAACTCACTTCCTTTTTTGCATTTAAAATTTTTTTTAGGTCAAGTTTTTTATTGAAAAAAAATTTGAATATACCGTTGTTCACGATTTTTCGTCCTCTTTCCATAGAGATCCATGATGATATATAAAAAATGAACTTTTTTTTTTCGAAAAAAACTCACTTAATTTTCTTATTTTTTTCAATATTTAAGTTTTTTTTATAAAAAAAACTAATTATACCAAAAATATTAATTTTGTGTACTTTATTAATAAACATCAACACCGATTAAAAAAAAACCTCGAACAGTGGAGATTAACACTGTGAATCTAAATTGTAAATATTTTAATTTTTAAAATTCACAATATAAAAAATCTCGAACAGTTCAGATTCACATGTTGAATCTGAGAAGGTTCACAAAAAAAAAAAAAAATCCTCGATCAGTGTAGATTCACATTGTGAATCTAAACTGTAAATATTTCAAAATTTAACATTCACAATGTGAAAAAGCTCCGATCAGTTCGATTCACAGTGTAAATCTGATTTATTATTATACACACTGTGAATCTGAGGAGGTTCACAATGTGAATCTGAACAGATTTACAATAAGAATCTTTGAATCTGAACTGAAGTATCGTTTTTTTTTTTAAATATGAATATGAATATGAATCTATGTTTAAAAAGTACAAAAAATATGAATTTTGATATATTTATTAATTTTTTTCTATAAAAAATAGACCTTAACTTTTTTAATTAAAGAAAATGAAGTGAGTTTTTTTCAAAAAAAAAAAGTTTGTTTTTTATATATTATCATGAATTTCTATGGAAAGAGGACGAAAAATCGTAAACAACGGTATATTCGGTTTTTTTTAATAAAAAACATGACCTAAAAAAACTTTTAATCGAAAAAAAATGGTAAGTTTTTTTTTGTAAAATGTGATTTTTTTGGTATAACCCAGTGTGTGTGCGTTCAATATAAAAGTGTACATTTATTTTCTTGGCCATTGATCGTTATGATTTTCGATGCTTACTATTGATTTCTTAATTAATTATGGTTCTCTGACCTCTGATACTCAATCTTCAACTTTCCTAATTTTTTTAAACCCAAATATAAACAATGTCGGGTGGAGCCGGTTCTTCTGATGGATGGGGGATAAGAACAATGATAGAAGAGAGAATAATCTATAAAAGGGGCTTTTCTCCGAGTTCCGTATTTTCCTCCGATTTTTCACAAAGAAGAAAAAGAAAATACGACTGCTACTTTTCAGAGGTGAGAGGATCTTCGAGGTAATCACCCGTTTTTTTCTACATCGTCTCTTAAATCTACATATGCAAAGATATTATGTATATGTTTATGTGTTGTTCCTTTGAGTTGAGTCTAAGATTAACTTAGGGTTCTTGTTTGCGGAAAATCCTAGGATCTCTTGGGGTGGTGTTTGAGTGATGGCTTCGAAGCGGATCTTGAAAGAACTCAAGGATCTTCAGAAAGATCCCCCGACCTCTTGCAGCGCAGGTATCGTATCCACATCCACCGTTTAGATCCTGTTTTTTGATGATTCTTACTAGTTACGGTGTTTGATCTTTGTATATTTTTACTCAAATTAGTCTTCTTGTGTGTTGAATCAATGTTTTATATATGTAACCTAGGTTTGATCTGTTGTTGTTGTTGCTAAACTTTGGGGATCATATGAATTGTTGGATTTTGTTTGTAGTTGTGTGGTAATCGCTGAGAAGATGATCTTATCTCTCAAAAAAATTGCTTGTTTGTGTAAGTAGTTAAAAGATTTCTTAGTATAGCTGCTGACCTGTGATTGACCAATGAAATGAGCTCTCTATTTGGGCATTCCATGGCTTTGTGAATTGTGAGTTTCTTAATGAGTTGCTGTCTTCACTGCTCACCTCATCAATGATCTAATGCTTATAGTTGTGTTTCCATTTATCATGTTGATAGTAAGCTAATTTGATAAAATTCAACTCTTCATAGTTCATATAGTTTACCCTTTCTTCTGTAAGTGTGATTTTAGGCCCAGTGGCAGAAGACATGTTTCATTGGCAAGCTACGATCATGGGGCCACCTGACAGCCCTTATGCTGGTGGAGTTTTTCTAGTTACTATTCATTTCCCTCCAGATTATCCATTTAAGCCACCTAAGGTATAACCTCTTATTCAAGAATTCATCATTTTTTTTTTTTTTTTTTGCATATATATTATATTGTTTACTCAGCTTTTGTCAACATCTTTTGTATAGGTGGCTTTCAGGACAAAGGTTTTCCACCCAAACATCAACAGCAATGGCAGCATTTGTCTTGATATTTTGAAGGAACAATGGAGCCCAGCTTTAACCATTTCCAAGGTTTGTACTTTAGACTTAATGTATTCAGATGTGAAAATTGTTTGTTGAAACTAGAGGGGTAAAACGGTCATTTATTGAAAATAGGTTTTACTGTCGATTTGCTCGTTGTTGACGGACCCTAACCCTGATGACCCTCTTGTGCCTGAGATTGCTCACATGTACAAGACGGATAGGAGCAAGTATGAGACAACTGCACGAAGCTGGACCCAAAAGTATGCCATGGGCTAGTGGTTTCTGAAACTCAAGTTGTCCTTTTCCTTTTGCTACTTTTTTTTCTCAAGAAAAAAAAAAAAATGTAATGACTAATGTCTAATGATGAATGAAAAATGTGTGAATTATGTTTTATGTAAGATAAAGAGGGTTTAGAAGGAAAAGGTAACAAACATGCTCCACCTTAAATATTTTTATTTATTTTCTTTCCTTTCTTGAACAATTTAATCTTCTTCTGTTTGCATTGCTCTTGTTTCTTGTTTGCAGTTTGTGTGAGGTACACAGGTTTTTACTTTTTAATGCTATCGTGTATATATCGTAATAAGGGACCAAAAAGAAAAAACTTAAGAAACTTACTATGAACAAGTATAGTTCAATTCAAAGTGGAAAAGCACGTGAGACAATTCTCTAGTATATTTTAATAATTTTGATTTTGGGCAACTAATTAAATTGCAATCTTTTGAGTGGAAGGGTATCCTTGGAATTTATGTTTTTAAGGTTGTTGCAAGGTTTCTTATTTATTGTTGGGAGTAATATGGATTGACATTTTTGTTCTTTTTAAATGTGATTAGCTTGAATTCAATATACATTGAGGTTTTTGGTATCTCTCTTGTTGTTTGAAAGGGTTATTTCTAGTCGTTATATAGCAGTTGTGTTGTAACACAAATGATTTTGACGTTGACGATGGGCTTAATGAGATAGAATAGTGGGATAGCCATTTCAAAACATGTCATCTTCATCATTTACTCACACCCGACCATCATTTTATGTTATTTGAAACTAACAACGAACAAGAATTCTCATTTAAAGAGTAAATTACAGTTTTATTCTCCAAGTATATGTGTCTTGCAATTTTGGTCCCAAAATACTCTCTTGCAAATTTGGTCCATAGTTGAGGTTTTCGTAACGACTTAGTCCCTGATCCTAGTAAAATGGTTATATATTTAGTACCAAAATTGCAAAAACTAACTACACTCAACGACCAAAAAACATCGTTTTATTTGGAACATGGCCCACAATCAGTACAAAAACCTCAAATAAGGACTAGAACTGCCACAGAAAGCTTTTTGGGACCAAATTAGAAAATTTAGCTATAAGCAGGTACTAAAAATGTAATTTACAATTTACTCTATTTTTTTTTATGAAATTGTGTAAAACAGTAAAAGTGTTATTATGTAACCCGTAAAGCTCTGAACAAAGTAGATAGACGTAAGATGGAATTCAAACTTGTGTTATAGTATAGGTTTTGTAAAAAGAGAGCATGTCAAAATTCACATATTTTTGTGTTCATTGGAAATGGGTTTAGGATTTTCTGACGTTGAATTACTTCTTTTTTCTACAATATGCTTGTAAAATCAGTGATGGAAAGGTTTATTTGGATGCACAAAACAGATTTTTATGATTGTTATAAATTGGAAATTAAAAGAAAAATCCAAAAATAATATTGGGCTACCATGTCCTTAACGGGCTTTGATTTAGAAATGCTTCATTTCACCCCGCTTGAATTGGGCTCCACATTTCATATTGGTTTGTTTAGTCTTTACTAACTGTTACCGTAAGTTTTAAGTGTTTATGCTGTGTATTAATAATGAAAATTAATTAAATCAGTATAGCATATCACAACTTCTTACATTGTCGTACATATAAGGTAATTTATCCGGCCACGTGTTAGGCCCTTACAATGTATTTGAGAAATGTTGTGTTGCATGTGTTGAGCCCTTACAATGTATTTGAGAAATGTTGTGTTGCATGTGTTGAATGGAGTATTTAGCAAACATGTGATAACCATATTGAAAGTTACATAGATCAATAAGAAGAGACTTACATAAAGTTTATGTCGAAACGTAAATAAACTCGAATTTATATTGATATGTACATAAAAAGAATATGTAAGTAAGATTTTTTTTAGTTGACAAACGAAAGTTCAAATAATAAGTATAAAAACATAAAAAAATTAAGTTAATATGTAGACAAACTCAAATTTAAATACGTCTAAACATTGACCGTCTTCAATTTATACCAACACATATATAGAAAAGCAAAAAAAATTAACTTTTTTTAAGTTAACGAATGAAAGCTTTTAAAGAAAATCAGATTATATATACTACGAGAGATAAACTCAAAAGTTTAGAAAATGGTTAGAAAATGGTGATGGTAAGAATGACATTTTACAAAATTCAAAGTTGATGGGGGTTAAAGTAACATTTTAACAAATAGAGGGATGAAAAATACATTTTACAAAGTAGATGAGGGAAAGTCACATTATATATATATATATATATATATATATATATATATATATATATATATATATATATATATATATATGAAGACGAGAGATAAACACTAAAGTCTAGAAAATTAATTAATGAAAGTAATATTTTATAATGTTGAAGATAGAGGATATGAAAGTGATATTTTAAAAGTAAAGGGATGTAAAATATTATTTACAAAATAGGAATAAGAGTGAAAGTAACGGACTATACAAAGTTGAAGAATTAAACTTGAAATTCACTACATCATGCATACTAATACCAACACCAAACATAGAGTTGCATTTTCTTTATATTTATAATTGTTATTCAATAACAAAACACACTTTTGTTCTACTATATATATATATATATATATATATATATATATATATATATATATATATATATATATATATATATATATATATATATATATATATATATATATATATATATATATATATATAATCAAGAATAATAGAAAATGCAAGTTACAAATATAGGAACCAATGAGTAATTAACATATGTCCCCCTTGCTTTGTTCAAACATAATGTAATCTAGAAATATTTGAATTATAAAAATCGTCCATATCGTTTGGTTAACAAAATACATATGGTCATTAGAATCATTAAATAATTTACCCTATACTGTAACATCTCAAAACTTAAAAACCAATTTAAACATTTCATATCAACTCATTTAATAATAAAAGTGTTTACAAAACCATTGTTTCCAAAACATAGTTCAAAATAAAGTTTCCCAAGATGAACAACATAAAATCAAGATGTGTACGGTCACACATTCACCTTCCCATGAACCTCGAAACTACCTGAAACCATAACCAAAAAATGTAAGCCAACACTTAGTGAGTTTCTCCCAAAATACCATCATACAAAATACATAACATAAACGAACAAGCATGCTGGGTCCAATCAATCAGTGGACTGAAATACCCTTGGGTCCATAGCTATCGGTGTGGATTACCCTAGCCCAATCAGTCATCGGACTGGAATGCCAATATATAATGGGTCCACTCAGTCATCGAATTAGAATACTCTCGGGCCCTCAATACGAGTCTGGCATACCAATTCGGCCCTCAAATCGTATCTGGAATGCTCTCGAGCCCTAAGTATGAGTCTGGTATGCCAATCGGCCCTCAGCTCATATCTGGAATGCTCCCAGGTTTGTAGGCTACAACACAAAACAGTACAACCTCAATCCAACACAATATGTTGACATATACATAACAAATAAACATACAATTAGTCAACAGGAAACATGAAGATCTACTGATCACTACCACATAGCAACATCCTATAAACTAGGATACAAATCTAACAGATCACTACATAATAGCAACATACGACAAACCAGTATATCAATCCAATGGGCCGACCTTGGTGCCTTCGACCAAAAAGTACAGTGAGGAAGCTCACCTCACAGTCTGAACAATAGCTGATGAGGTCGCAACTCCGAATCTCAACTCTAATCATCACTTATCCATCCAAATTACCAATTCTCAAATACAATCTAAAACACCCAAAATACCCATAGGTCAAACTTGGTCAACCTTGGACAAAGTCAACGAGTCAACACAGCTAATTCAACTCAGCCGAGTTGACTCAGGCCTCGTACGCGGGACGTACTCCGGAGGTACGTGAGGCGTATAAGTGTTTGAGACATCAAGGCTATATCTGTGTACGTGCAGCGTACCCTGCGGTACACCCAGCGTACGCAACTGCCTTCTTCTTAACCCATTCAACCCTTATTTCTTTGACTTAATGTTTCTAATTATAGATCCAAGGCTAAAATATCCTTAAGAGTCATAAAGTTTCCACCTTTATGATTTTGCATGTCCATTAAGTGCTTACAACACAAAGACTCAACATCTTAATGCCTTAAGACCTTGTATAGCATGCATGGAAAACAACTAACCATCAAGACCATATTTTTATGACTTAAGACCCCTCATAAGGTCTGAAAGGATGAATTATTGGGTCAAGAACATCCCATGCTCAAGAATCACCATTTTTAGGACAAAAGTTCCTTAAAGGAAGAAATGTCTAGATCTACAAGATAAAGTGATCAAGATGCAAACTTTATACCTCCTGGAGGTTGCTAACAAGAAGTAAATCCCAGATCCATGCTGCTTCCAAGCTCCAACCTCTTCTCACCACCACATTCTTCTTCTTCAAGAACACTTCCAAAACACTCCAATGGACTCAAAAATAACTCTTCTCACATAGGGTTTGCTTGGGGTCGTTTTTCATAGAGGGAAACTGATGAAGAAATGATACATGAAGCTATAATGTGGTATAAATATGGAACAAACCCTAAAAATTAAGGTTTGCACATTCCTTACGTACGCCCTGCGTACGAGGTGTATACCTAGCGTACTAAGGCGCGCCCTAGTACGCCTAACATACACAACGTACGTTGAACATACTACACTTGGGAAAAATCACTATATTGCCATTATGGGCCATTTTGCAATCCTTTTCAATCCCAAGGGCCAAGATGCAATAATAGTTAAACATAGGGTCAAAATTAGAAGCACCTCGATGTTACATTTCTCCCCCACTTAAGCTAGACTTCGTCCTCGAAGTCGGATACAACGAATAACTCAGGATAATGCTCCTGCATCTCAGCCTCCGACTCCCAAGTCCACTCAGAGCCTCACCGATGTTGCCACTAAACCTTTACTAAAGGTATCTCCTTGTTTTGAAAGACCTTCATATTTCTCTCCAATATAGCCAACGACATATTAATATAATTCAGGCACTCATCAACCTGAATATCATCCCAAGGGACTACTGCCTTACCATCCAACACACACTTATGCAACCGAGAGACATAGAAAGTATTGTGGATATGACTGGGCTCACTCAGAAAATCCAACCGGTAGGCCATGCTGCCCACCCTGAAGATCACCCGGAAAGGTCCAATATACCGGAGATTCAATTTCCCCCCTCTTCTTGAA